TATTAGATTCTTGATGAATGTGTGTTGTTGTTATTCAGCCTGGTTCAATGTGCCCCTTTTTAACTTTGAGCACCCGCCCCTTTAAACCTCTCTGCACGGCCCTGCATACATCCAGCTGTTGTGGCAATTGATTTGGCTTTGTGATGCATAATGCACAACTAAAATAAAACAATATTTCAGAAAACACAATATTACACTTTACAGCTTTCATCAAAAACAATTCAAATGTTGATGTAAAGTGGATTTATGTCGAAGGTTGCATATTAGACTGTGTACGATCCATTAAATAAGCTTACCTGGTCTATGTAGAAGGCCGTCCCCGATCGAATCTCTCTCCTCTGTTTCAGGTCAGTCTCTGTGGTGTCCCTGGACAAAGCGACATACTCCACTTCCCGTTTAGTCAACTCCTAGTCAAGAGCAAGAGAACAAGTTTGGCTTGTTAAAAGTTAAAAGCATATTCTCTGGCTTATCTGATGCCAAATAATATGATAGAATTGTAAAAATAAATCAAATTACTATGCGTATCCTGCAAAGACACTCCTAGTCCACCGTTTATTAGAACAAACCTGATAGAGCACAATTTACTCTTTACTTTGGTGCCGAATTTGTATAAAAGTTTCCATCGCACTATTAGAATGATACAACTTTATATTTATCTTATTAAAGCTATGCAATGTTTTAAAACTGCATTTACATTTCACTACTTTTGACTGTATGAACTTCTGCACTTTCTGAATTTTGCCACTTTGACAAATAATCATTCTAAGGATGCTGCACTAGAATAAGACCTGTGTGGGAGTTACTGTGAGCCATGTACACATTTCCACAAAGGTCAGTAAATTTACTTTAGGCAAGCCACACGGTCAAGCTCAGCCACAATCCTTGAAAATTAGCAAGTGCTTAGTTACTCCACATCTGCAAGCCGCTTTGCAACCAAAGCCAAAACTATGGCATCTACAATACTGAACCGCAGTTCCATCTTCCATATCACAGTAATGTTTAATGATTGTTTAGCAACAAGTAAGCAGGAAAAACATCAGAATAATGGAGTTTTTAATTTTTGTTCATGGTTCAGTCATAATCACATGATCAAAACTGTGGTTTAAAGAAAAAAAAGAAAAAGATACTCCTCTTTTATATTGAGTGTGTAACATGAGGACTCACAAGGTACTGCATAGCTATGGATCTTCTCAGGGGTCCTGGGGGGCCAATGAGGAACACATCCTGACCCAAAAGGTCTTTCTGCATAATCCATCGTAGGTGTTGAGCCACCGACTGCGGTAGGGAGTCTGAAACTGGCCAAAAAAAAAGCAGCAAAAAGGAAACGTTTTATGCTGACATACCTATAGGCTTTGTTGTGACATACACACACAGAAGATTACCTACTGTGTTTCACAGGAACAAGTTCTGGATTCTGGGGTGGCTTGAGTTTGTAAGTGATCTCACCAATCTTCACTGTGTCACCTGTAAAGGAACAGGATGACCAATGCATGCAAGACGGTTTTTGACAGACAAGTCAAGTCATAATC